GTGGGGGTGTATCTCATTATGTATGTTTGTGTAATTTAGACCTTTGTAGAACCACTAGATTACATTCTATTGTAAGATATTATTTTAAGTTGTGTGCTTTGTTTTCACTCCAGTCTCAAAACTTTCTATTTTAGTTTAAGGGCATAAGCCCCTTTAGAACAAATTATCTCATTTTCAAAGCAGGCCTTAAAAAGAAGAAAGAAAAAACTGACAAGATAAGCATGTGACTATGTTGTATTGAAACAGGAAATATGGAGATGGTTTATTTATTCGTCTTTCTTTTGAAATAATGTTAAAGTTGTTTGATTCTTATGCTTTCTGTCTGAGCCTGAGCTTCTGATTGGCTGTATTTGTATTGTCATTTCAGGAAAGGCTGCTTCATGATAGCAAAGATTTGCAGAAGCACTTTACTTAACTTTGCATATTACAAAGCAGGATGTGAGTCTCATTCTCTTGATACAAGCTGAGGCTCGGTGTGTTTGGTTGTGTCAGCTGCTGTGTTATATGCATTTGCATTTCTTTCACAGGTATAATATCGTGTCTTTTATTTTACTTTTCATAGTTTAAATTGAAACGGCTAATTGTATACTGAGAAACTTGGACTTTTTTTTTTTTTTTTACATGGCTGATAGTAATGTAAATAAAAGGGGGATATTCTGTCTTTAGTCACATGTGGCATGTTTCTTGTAGACCAGAAAATGTCATTTAAATCAGATTGTAGCACACAGGAACTGAAGAGGTCTCTGTGGTCTGTCTTCCATGAAAGGTCAGCACTATCGGCTAACTTTACTAATGGCCTAAAGCACAGACTGAGTCAAATTTCCCTTGGTGCAAAGAGCAGAGCTTACTTATTTTTTCTGGTCAAGCATTTCGGAAAGTACTGTTGGGGTTGCAAAATAAGGACCTTCTTTTTAGCTATATCAATAATTACCAACCAAGGCATCAAACATCAAATGCTTACCCTACAATAACTCCAGAATGGCAGACGGAAGGATTTTTTTTTTTTTTTTTTTTACTTTCAAGCAACTTCTTAGAGTTGTGACAGTCTGCAAACTTTCCTTTTTAACTGCAGTTTTGTTTTGGGGTTGTTTTTTCCTGCTACACTTTATGATACTTGAGGGTGTTGAGAGTTTGGTATTCTTTTAGATTCTTGATTTATTTGAGTTTTTCTTTCTTTTGTATCATTAAAGTTTATTCATTGGATACAGCCCTTTTAAACCATACTCTAAGGAGCAATAAATAAAATGAAGAAGGGGAAAAAAAACAGCAACCATCTGAGCTCATCATTTATTTTCACACCTCAAACTAATTAAAAGGAGTTTGAATCTTCATGTGAAGGGTTACATTACTCTTCCTCTGTGCAGTTGCTGTTTTCCAGCTGCTTACTTCACTCCATAAGTAGAGCAGCTGCTTTCTATTGCAACAGGAAAATGGAAGAGTAAGGCCATGGAAAAAGAAAGGAAGTGTGACGTCACTCAGTTTTCTTAGCGCAGCAAACCATGTGACCTCTAACCCTGACGCCTCTACCCTCAACCCCCCCGATTCTGAAATAACATTCTGACTCAGCTGACAGTCATTATGACTCCCCTGTTATTTCAGTTATGTCTGCCTGGTGCCTTTACAGGCTTCCTATTACACCAGTGAGAGCAACTCTTTACTGCTTTGAAAGCTCAGGGCAAAGAAAGTTGACTTGTGGCTGCAGAATATTGAGTGAATTTCCTCATGTGTTTGAGGGACCTGCTTTGGCATCAGATTGAGGTAAAGATGATGTTGAGATTACAGATCCACACTGTCAGACTTTATATTAAATGCTGCATTTAGAACAGAGACTCAGGATCTGTATTTTTTTTTTTTTTTTTTTTTTTTTTTTTTTTAAGTTAAATGCAGGTCTGATGAAAACTTCTGAGCCAGTCTCTAGGTTTATAGAGGGCCTTAAAAGGTTTAAAACTCCATAATACTCAATTTCATAGCTTTTTCTATTTATATTTATTGTTTTTGGTCATTTACTCCACATGCTGTAAACCTTTCTGGGGAAACTGGCTATAAATTAAGGTTTGATTAAACCACAGAGCTCTGAGTACAGGGCAGTAAGCAGCCCCATTAGAAGGAATTTAAAGCCAGACATTCAACCTTATGGTGAACTCCTGCAAACAAATCACTAATCCTGTTAATATCCAACAGGAATCCAAATCTTTCCCATTAGGTATTAACTGTCTCCTCCTTGGTCATGAAAAGAGTATATTTTAAAAGGATTTCTTTCAATAAAGCATTGATTCTTCTACCCTGCACAGAAATAAATGCTCTACATCAGAATAAAATCTTTATTTGAAGGTATAGGAGTTGGTTAACCTATAGTGGTAAAGGAGAAAGTCACATTTCAAATCTTTGGGGGGAAAAATGGATTTACTGTCATTTTCGGACTATTAGCTGCACCAGACTATAAGCCGCAGGTTTTTTATGTTTAATGTTCGTCTTTCTCGCTGTCGTTCTGTCTCATACCACTCGCGGTAGAAGTCTGCTTCCGGAGGACCTCTGCATTCCCCTGCGCGCGGCTACCGTACTTGCGTGTTGAAGCAAATATGACGTCAACATGGTGGATGGTAAAATCCATAGATTTAGGTATTACGCTAGTAGCCGTTAGCTGTAAAAGTCATATAAGTTATATAAGCCGCAAGGTCGAAAAATGGGGAAAAAGTCGTGGCTTATAGTCTGAAAATTACGGTAGTTATGTTTGGCTAATTCAAAGATTTCAATAAGTTCTAAAAGCTACTGGAAGGTTTAAGTTTCTCTGTTCAATTCCTATGGCTCTAAAAAGCTTCTTAAAACATATAGAATTAAACTTTCTAAGACTTGCAGATTCTTTAAGTTGAACAAATC